CTGCGGCACAGATTGGGGCTTTTTTTTAAAAAGAGGTCTTGATTTAACCCTAACCCTAACCCTAAACTTTCCCATAGGCTCAACACGCACCTAACCCCAATCTGTGCCGCCGAAAAAAATAACGCCCCCCGCCGGAGGTTGATTCATCATCTAAAATTAATTTCGATTTTAAATATCTTTGAAAATATATTTGTTATTAAAGGCTGAATCACTTTTGGCTTAAAACTGATGCTCGTGAGCTGTTTTACAGAATCAAATTTTAGCTAGAATCGATTTTGATAAATTTTAGGTTAAATGTAAAGGGCTCTGTGATCAAGGCTAGTCGATGTTAGGTCTGTCAACCTCGAAATTGCGTCGCTGAACTAGACTACTGCAAGAGAGGTCCTCAAAAGATAAGTAAATTCCATTTTTCTTCTAAAATATTCATTATGCTGATAACAAATTGTTTTGTTGGTAGAAGGAAAGTATTCTTCTCATATTTTACCGAACGATAGCTGAAATAAATATCAACTAGGCTCTACACGGAAGTCTGGACGTTTATATCAATTGGTCCTGTCCAGTACCACCTTAGATGTAGATGTAGGTCTAGTAATTATAGGGTCTAGCATTTCCCAACTGAGCTTAGAATAAGATGGACGAATTGCACCGGTTCATGCATTTCCGTCCCATTCATATAAATTCATGCATGTCCCACTGTACTTGTCTAATGACGTTGAATATTTGGTTAGGACAGGTCCAACTTCATCAAGAAATATAGTTTATTCTTGCATTTCATAACAAAATAAGTCCACCACGGCTTTAGGAGTCCGCGGTGTATGTTTGCTGATACATTTAGTGGCAGTGCTTATAATTGGAGATTTAGGCTAGTTAGAACTTAGATTCCAAATCTAGACTCTAGGCCTACTTTGTTTTGTTTTGCCGGTAGGCAGTGCGATGGCCCTTGTTCTATGTTGATAAACAGTTAACGAGATCATTGTTTTAACGTTAATATTTTATGAAAGAAAATTGGTCTCCACAGTTTCAGACTCAAGACCAAGTTAGATCTTGATTAAGAATAAGATCTTAATGTAGATTTAGTCTTTGGTAGATAGTAGATATAGGGTAGATGTAGACCTAGTCTCTACACTGCACCTTTTGTGCAGGATTAACTAAGATACGTTATAATTTATAATTTAGAGTTGGTCCCTTAGACTTAGATCTAGACTAGACCTTAGGCTTACTTGTATTTTTGTGAGATCTAAATTAACAGGAGTTAGATCTAGTCTACATCTAACAGTAACAAGTTATATTTTAGAGTAGATGTAGAATGTTATGTACAGTAGTAGGCACTGGCGTACTGGTGGGGGGGGGGGGGGGCTTGGCATTGTGCCAGCCCCCCCCCCCTCTCAAATAAAATTAAACAATGACTTATTTTCAATTCCATACAAGTGATTTATAAATGTTCGTGATATTATATTATTTTCAACAAAATACGCGTTTCTCCATTTCTGTTGCAAACTGACACATTGCGAATAACCAGGAACAACATATGTTTTTTTGTAGCCACTAATGGGCCTTATAGTAACCACTGATGCCCTTACCCCTTGAGCTTCGGGGGCTTCGCGCCCTTAGACCCCACTTTGAAAAACGTTCAGCGGGGTCTGCATGTAAGAGTGGGGTATTGCGGAATTTTTGTCAGCCCCCCCCCCCCCCCCAAAAAAAAAGAAGTTTTGGTTCATTACGCCACTGGTAGTAGGCTCATGTATCGAGCTCTAAATTTTGTTTTTCTTCATTTCTTTTTTCTTTTAGAGTCAGAGATGGGGTGGACCTGGACTCTTGATTAATATCCAATAGACCTCTAGTCGTTTCTTCAATTATAGCATGGAATCAGTTGGACAGATCATTGAGAATGGCAAGCTTTGTGAACACCTTTAAATACATGTTCAAACAATCTTGCATTATCGATTCCCAATGAGGTAAAATGACAAGAGGAATTTCGTTTAGTGTATGTTTTCTTAGCACTGAATGTAGGACGATATAATGACTTTCATATTTAAAGAATGATTTCATATAATGTATTATCAGCTATAAATACATTAGTATTTTTAATGTTATTTAAGAGTGTACATTCAATTGCTATACTAGATTACATGCATTAATTTTTGAAATTATCCAGTAATTTACTATCCTGTAATATATTTTGTTGTTTTAAATATGTATATAATAATTGAACTCTCAAAGTATATGTTGCCTTTTTCAAGGTCTAATACTTACCGAAATATGCTAATATTTACTTTTCATCGGATTTAAAAAGTAATTACTGTCTATGCTATAATGTTATATTAAAATATTATAATTATGCAACAACGTTTTCTTGAACGAAAAGCAAATTAAAAGAAAACAAACAAACCATTCTTTTATTACGAGGATACCAAACACTGTGTATATATTTGTATACATGTTCTTACTTATTGTTTATTGCCGTTATAAATTTATGTTCAAGATTTTGTTATTAATAGAATTATCATATATATAATTGTTAAACTATATTGTACCTCATTAAGTTTAAAGGGGCCTCATGGAAGACCACCATTATTGGTGATAATGAATCACCCTGTCTAAATGTCAGGAAAAAATAAGTCTAAAGTGACTCTCACACTCTGCCGTGTAGGCCTACCGTGTGCCACCGTGCGCGAAAATGTCTGCGGACGGTGGAGAACGGCGAGGGCACACGGTGGTTCGTTATCAAAGCGGGCAACACGTTAATAGGGCGTTGGCGCTTATTTACACCCGGTGGGACCCGTCGAAAGTTTTGGGCATGTTCAAAACTTTGGCGGCTGGCACCGGCCGCAAGTAAGCGGCAAGAGGACGGTGTTGAACGGTATGAGGACGGTATGAATACGTTATTAAAACGGTCACACTGTATGAACACGTTCACAACACGCTCATAACCCGTTACAGAACGGTGATGAACGGGCAAAAAAAATCCACAGTCTGCAACGGGTTGTAAGCGGGTTGTGAACGTGTCATGAACGTCAGCAGTCCGGGGACTCGCTCACAGGACGCTCCGAGCGGTGAGGGGACGCTAAGTGACCGGTAGGTGGCTGCTACAAACCCGGTGCACACGTTCGAGACCCGGTATGGGCCCGGTATGGAAACGGCCAAAATTTTCAACAAAAGTCAATCTGGGCGGTGAAGACGGTAAAAGCACGTTCAACACCCGGTATGCGCCTGGTGAGAACGGTCAGAAGATGGCAACGAAACGGTGAAAAGATTAATTTTATAATTTTTTTTTTGCGGCCGGGGACAAGTTCGCTCAAAACCCAACGTTCTGGACTCTGTTTTTTTTTTAATAGCCCGGCAGGTGGACGGTAGGCCTACACGGCAGAGTGTGAAAGCTCCATAAGACTTCTCTCCAACCGTGCCTTCAACGTCTTGAACTAACTTTTCATCCTACCTCTGCCCCGAGGAAAGGGTTTGGATCTGCATAATGTAATCTGATTCAAGGTGTACCGCAAGATCCTACCGTGTTAAGTGGCCTTTGATGTGATTTTCTCAGCAAAGATTGAACACCGACATTTAAAATAAGAATTATGGGTGATTTTTCTTTTTTCCTCTAGACCTTCTTAGACCAACAATTACTAACTTGTTGTTGAGTTTATAGTCTTGATATCCACTTATGATAAAGGGTTAAGATACCGGATATTGGATTGAACAATAACAAACTGAAAATGTTGTGTTCTTAATTTAAGAGGAAGCCAACCATGACAGGTCAAAAACATAGATAAATCACCAGATCGGCCGGATTTGTATCAATTGTACATAGAATAGGGCAGCAGTTAAAGTATAAATATGTGATTGAACAAACTCTAACGAGCATATGCATGATATAAGCTGCTATCTGTTTGTTATATAACATTAAAGGTATCTCTTTTCCTTCTATTCCCCGGATGGTAATTTTAATCAATCTCTATACAATAGAATTTGGTTCAAGATCGGAGTATCCATGATTAAGATTGGACTGGTGTAGTTTGATATTACAAATAAAAGCTCAAGTTCAAGATCAAGATTTTAAAGAAATGTTTGGGATCAAAATCAAAATCAAGATAAGTCCAACATGTGTATTAAAAAAGGGTTCCACATTACACAGTCAATCTTCCAACTTGATATCGTTAAGTAACATATATGGGTTGGGCCAAAAACATTTTAATTACAATTACAATCACTGATGAAAATATACGTTTGTTCAGTTGAACACATTTAATAGATTATGTAAAGTGACAATTATTTTTCTGAGCAATATATTTGCTCTCTTTATGGTATATGTCTATCTATGTTTTAAATCTTAGCTTGCAAAGTATTAAGAGCTGTGGCATCTACATAAACTGCAAACTCATGGCATCTGGACTTTCACACCTAAGGTCTTGTCCATCTCTTCAAGTTGAAAAGGTAAGCGGTATCAGTTAGCATAATTGATCTTAATGCTAAATATATTACTCATTGCGGATATAGTATCGAAAATAATATCGCTAGTGATATTCGTTTGTCTCGCAATGTGGTCAATAAGGAATCTAAAAGATCACGACGTTTCGTATGCTACTGCGATACTTCGTCAGGTGATAAAAACTATTGTAAGCAAGGGTCTTTTATACTTTACGGGAGGACCGGCGGAGCGGTCTATAATTCGATCGATAATTGGAACAATAACGCCCAATGCCTATTGGTCGACGCACACGGTGATCGACCAATCACCAAGGCCGCTGGTTCGGCCGCTGGTTCGGCTGATGCACCAGGCCTATTGGCCAACGCATACGGTACTCAACCAATCAACGGGCCGCTGGCTCGGGCCGTCTGCTGAATGGAATCGACCGTTGTTGGCTGGCAGGACGGCGAGTGTCATGGCGGCGTATCGTCCGTATCCAAAATTCGGGGATATCGATCCCGTTGTCTCTGTTGAAATTATTAGGATTGAGACGGATATTGATAGCTTCTTTTACCCTCCGTGTATACCAATGCCGTTCCTAGGAAAGGCACTGAACCCCGTCCCAGTCTGGTTGATGCTGGTTATCCCAAGCATGTTCGGCTACGGCTGAGTTGTCAGTTCGACGGAGTCTGACGTCCCTCTTATGCTCAGTGATTCTTTCTTTTATCGGACGGGCAGTTTCACCGATGTAGGATCTATCACATCCTTTACAAGGGATGTTGTACACAATGCCGTCCCGTCTATGTGGAGGAATTGGATCCTTGGGGCGTGTAAGTTGTTGACGTAGGGTGGTATCTGATCTGAAAACCGTTCGAATGCCATGGCTCTCTAGGCGGCGCTTGAGTTGTTGGGAGACCCCATCAATGTACGGCAAGACTGTAAAAGTCTTGTATACCTTCTGATCCCTGGGTTCCGACGATCTATTCTTGGTATTGTGTATACAACGGCGTGGGTAACCGTTGAGACTCAGGGCACTGCGAACACGGGTCCGTTCTTTGCATGGCTGTTGTGGACTTGTCACAATGCGTGAAGCTCTGTCAAATAGACATTTCACTAGACCTCTCTTCACCGATATGGGATGGTGAGAGTCAAACGCTATGTACTGGTCTGTGTGGGTAGGCTTCCTATAGACTGAGGTGGAGAGCCTATGGTTGTCGTGTCTATGAACTAGAGTGTCTAAGAATGCTATCTTCCCTTCACACTCTATCTCTGATGTGAACTGGATGGTTGGTTCAAGGCTATTCATGTGTTTAAGCAGCTTATCTGTTTCAGAGATGGGAACTATGATGAAGGTGTCATCTACGTATCTCTTCCAAACACGAGGCAAGCAAGAGAGGGGGCATGTGTCCAACGCTTCTTCTTCGAAACTCTCCATGTATAGGTTATTGGGCGTTATTGTTCCAATTATCGATCGAATTATAGACCGCTCCGCCGGTCCTCCCGTAAAGTATAAAAGACCCTTGCTTACAATAGTTTTTATCACCTGACGAAGTATCGCAGTAGCATACGAAACGTGATCTTTTAGATTCCTTATTAACCACATTGCGAGACAAACGAATATCACTAGCGATATTATTTTCGATAATTGATCTTATTAGTATGTTTTGTGCATGTCGTCATTGCCATGCCCCTACAGCAATTAATCAGAAAGAAGATTTTAAAAAGTAAATACAGTTCTCATAGTCTTTGTTAGAAGTCTAATTCCGATCTCAACCAAGCTATTGTTTTAAACATACACAAATGGTTGTGATTTTTTTTTCTCCAAAGCCTAAAAATAAATTATTCATTATCTTTTTAAAACTAAAACTGCCTTCATACCAATATTTTTAAAGAATATTTTGTATTCTTGTAATTTATTTATTTTCCAATCAAAGAAATTGACATGACCAGAAATGCAAAAATTGAAAAATTACACAGGTATTTATTAAGTTTTGTATTGAATAAATTTAGAATTCTAGACTGCAGAGCCTGAATGCCCTGCAACATTATGCTTTACATGGAACATCAGCCAGCCTACAGATACAAGCTCCATTTTCTAGCTCCAAGCAAGAGGAACCACAATGCTAAACAGAGCGTGGACTGGTCGCTTTCTTATAATAACTACGATTTCCAGTGAAGCAGCTTTTCAAATGAATTCATCTGAAGATGTTAAAGGTGCTCTTGTCTGTGAACTACAATTTTGTCATCGAGTATGAGATGATTGGATTGATAACATTTCATCAAGTAACGTTTTTAAGGAACTAACATTTTTCAATGATACTTCCTAGAATTCTATTATTTTTATTATAATTTTAGAAAAAACAACACAACTAATTACAGTTGAATGATAAAACTAAAGTCATAACCCATATCAAGTTAGCCTTGCAATTTAAGCCTGCACTTTCGAGAAATATCTTGTTAAGGGTTGTTGCTGATTGTAAAATCTATGATTCTATCATGGAGGTTTACTGTTTTTAAACTTACATTACATAGACAAATACGTTCATGGTTATGAATCTTAAGATATCAAATTGGAAATTTCAAAGAGGCAAACTAATCTGAGCAGTAGTTGACCAATTTGAGGGCCTATTTGGAACTCTTCCTAGAGGTTCTGTTGGCATGACCATGTGTCGATAACTAACTGTCGATGCCTCAACTGTGTATTTTTATCAATTGCCAAAGAACAAACTCAAAATAAACAACTGAATATTATAATTGCAGTAAAAACAGATTTGTCCACCGGGAAATAATATATCAGCTCGGATTTATATTGTCCTTAGAACATGTCCAAATCTGATAGAAACAAATTATAATTAACTTCATTTAGACAAACTGTTGTATCAAGAAAAACACATCTTCACCAACTGTATGACCTTACATGACAAAGTGTATAACCCTTATATTAACAACCATATGGGTAAGATTAATCCTTACACAAATGTTACTCCTTTCATCTCCATCAATTTACGCCGAGTAGACAGTGGCAGATATAAGCTTCAAAAGTTTTAACAACTTGCTCTACTTTCATAGCAGTACTTTCATTTGTGCCATTGAAAATGTTTTTATTGTATCCCTTGAATGAATTTGCTATTGATATTGCTACAAAATGTAGATGTTCGTGCATTCAAGCAAAATAAAAACGATTAGACTTTAAAGCATGACAAATCTTTGTAAATTCTATTTTGTATTTGAGCAATGTACTGTTTGGCATTTGAAAAAAAAAGGGGTTGGGGCAAAGAATGAATTAATGAAATCGGACGCTAACGCATGGTAGTAATTATAAAATGGTGTGATTCAATGAAGGTGTGTTTGTTTGATGAGTATTCAAATAACAAAGCAATGCTTTTGTTGGAAGCCTGAGTTTATCTTTCTTTTTAAACAAAACTTTATTCCTTCATCCCTTTCTTTTTTTCCATTTTTTTTTGGGGGGGGGGTGAAAAGAGTTGTGATGGGAGTGTGGTTGTGTGTTAATGAGAGAGATATAGAGAAAGAGAGAGAGTATATAAATGGAATAAGGGCACAAATTTAGGATCAAATATGGTAATTTATGGCCCCAAATTGGCCATTATTTTGTACAGAATTCTCCATTTTCCGGTGCATGCCCAAATTTAATTTGGCCGTCAATTACGCCTTTGAAGCAAATCAATGCTGACCATATCGAATTAATACTAGGATATTTTTTTTGCTTTTGTTTAAATATTTTTTTTAAGGGTTACTCTCTCAGTATGAAACGTGTTTTCCTGAGAGGCCCAGTACAAATTATAGGTCAAAACTACAAAGGAAATTGAACAAAGTTTAAATACATATGACCTATCATATCATATTGTGTTCCCCTTTTTTTGTTAAAACATAATATAAACACAGAAAAAAAAATTAGATATCTCACCAGGTAAAGCAATATATTCCTTTTGAATCGATTAACGTAAGTTGAAGCGCAAAAGCTGAAATAACTCGTTTGGTTTGTTGTTACTAAAAAGAACCGTCTCTGTGATTAAAACAAAAATGATAACATTTATCTAAAAAATGTTTTCAGAGCTTAAAGGGATAGTTGAGTTCTGTTGCAGTGGGCGCTACACACAAACAAAATTGTGAGATAATGAAAAACTGAGTGCCAAATTTGCAAGAACATACAATTTAAATGACAAAATCATCTTTGTTTGATTACAATCGGTTCAAAGACGGCTGAAATATCTATAACTAAAACTATTTCTATTTATTTGTGTACTACCGCAAATATTCGATAATTTGAAAAAGCCGTTGACAAAACGAAATAGCGCCTTTTACGTTGTATTTCAGCCAATGCCGATGTTGGCTTTTTCGTTGGCATTTTCGTGTTGGTTATATTACGCATAATCAGCTGGCCCATGTATTGTTATTTTTAATTAGATAATTAACGGTCCGACGTATTTTGTTTAAAGTGGAGCTGAATTAGTATGATCGTATTGGCTACATTTCACACATTTCGGGGTCTAAATTACCTTCATAGCAATTTTAGGTCCTAAAATGGCACTAGAAATATCATAGATAAGAAAAAAAGCAATAACCATGAACTTTGAAGACATTTGTGTTCTGAAAACAGAACTCAACTATTCCTTTAAATCTTTTGTTTTTGTTTTAGTTTTGTTTTTCATTATGAAACATGGCCAAAAATCGAAATAAATTTAAGGCCCCCTAAATTGATCTGATTAATTTTAATATCAATTTCAAAGCCTTATGACCCCTCCCCCGATATTTTTCCTTCCATCTCCACCTCCCGGAGTTTGTATTTTGTGTCGCTAATTTGATTAAGTGAGGCCTATAACATTAAATCGTTCATGGGAAGAAAACAAATCAGATCTTTAAATCCAAACATGAGAATACTAAGAGTATCATATTTTAAGTATTCTCTGTCTGTTTCTTTTTCTTAATTACTCTGCTCTTTGTATGTCTCTCTACTATATGTACATGTATTCCTCTATCTTTCTCTATATACCCCACCCCCTTTTTCATCTCTCTCTCTCTCTCTCTCTGCTTCTCTCTCTTTACTCTAACATCCAACGCACCTTACCTCTATCACTCTGTTTTCTGAACATAGGTTCTTCTTGTGTGGAACTGAAGAGGGCGGTAGACTGGAATCTCATCTCAAAGGTCTTCAAGCATCATCAAGAGGCAACCTCTCTGTAAAGCTTAATCACGTAAGTATCGCTCCATGTTGTGTGCACTGTACACTTTCACTTTATATATATATATTTTTTAATCTGTATATTATATAGCATCCGCTAAGACGCTAATATTGTTCTGTATAATCGTTTTTTTAACATTTGATTTCTAAATCGATTTCGATTTTGGGCCCACTTTCTTTGTTAACGTTTCCTTAGTGTTTTTTGTTTTGTTTTGTTGTAAAATCACCCCCTTCTGCTTCGTAAGTTTTGAGTTCTCGTATCAGACTCGTTTGTCTCTGTCCCAGCTCTCTGTCTGTATTGTTGTTGATGATTGTTATCCCATTTACTAGACACCAAATGCTCAATAGAATATCGAAACGTTGCTAAATGACACAATTCATGTTTCTTCTCTCACATGTGTTCCTATTATGTTTTCACACGTAACTCACTTTGTTTCCTCTGTCTGAATTTGCACTTCAACATTTTATCAAATATTCTATGAAATATTAGCTTTGTTTCCGGTGTTTGGTGCTTCGATTGTACGATTTTTAGTACAATTTATTATCTTTTTTCCTTGCATGAAATTCTGAAGTTTTTTCTTTGATCACTTCATTGTTCGCTCTTTTTTGGGCGGGGGGGGGGGGGGATGCTACTATCGTTATAACATGAACTCATTCGTTTGACCTTGTTTTGCTGTTTTGGTTTATATGGTTTTTATGTTTTTGTGTAGCCTACGTAGCTTTTCTGGAGACGGCGACGGCGGAGGCGTCAACATAAAAAAACTTAGCCTAAGGTTAAGTTTTTGAATTGTTAGTATAATTTTGAAAGTGTAAGTTATTATTGAATAAAACTTGGACTAAAGGGTTATCAAGTATACTCAATCATGTGAGTAGAATTTCAGGTCTCAAAATAAAGGTAAAATCTAATTTCACGTCTGCAAACTTAGACTTTGTTGTGGCATCAACATTTTGAATTGTTAGCATAATATCAAAAGTGTTTGTTCAAATTTCATGAAACTTGTACACAAGGATTATTAAGTATCACAAATCAGATGACACAAATTCCAGGTCAAAGGTCATTTTAGGTAAGTAGACTTGGATTATGTTTTCTCAACTTAATATGAGAATTAATAAATCAATTTGTATATGAAAGTTATCAATCTTGGTACAAAGCATAGTAAATAATTCTCCTGATGATTCTTAGTCAATATTCACTTCAAAATGCTGATTATTTTCAGAGGATTTCATTGGGGGGA